GTGTCGTTGCCGACGATGTCCACCTTGCGCTCCATAGCAGGGAGACGGCGGCTTGCACGTGAGTCAGCCTAAAGTGATAGCGGGCTTGCGCTGCATCTATCGCACTCTCTCCTCACCCAACAGGGTCCGGCGTCATGACCAAACCAAGAGAAGAGGTGAACGAGTGTGGATGGTTGGCGCGGCGAAAACCCGCACCTAGGCGGACCACCACACCCCCTAGACAACTTAAGACCTGGTTAACTCAGTGTACGTCGGCGAAAGCCAGAATGGGTCAAGCTCTCCAGATCCACTGTCGCAGATCGACACGAATTGAGAGATCCGGTCTGCGACATCATTGAGGCCGACTGCAACAGGCATTACCACAAGTTCACAAATTATAAGCCCACGACAAGGTTTCATTTTAATGTAATTTGCGAAAAAGAGGATGGGCTGAGGTGGTCCGACAAGTGTGGATAACCACCTAACGCCAAACGTCTACAACACCACATATGACGATGCATGAATGGTGCCATCACCAGTGATGTGTTTTAATCAGCAGACAGTACCAGTGTGGGTGCCAACCAGCACACAAGAACGGCCAGCTTGAATTAAATTTGCAACGCGCCGAAGAATGTTGGATGCTGTTCGGCAAGGCTGTCGATGGCCAGCAACCCAGACAAAAACCGCGGAATCTATCCCACGCAGCCCGCAGCGGATGAGACCATTCAGAAATCTCAGTTCACAACTCAAATTAAGACTTTGAATTAAGCAAACTCAGCAAGTAGCCACAGTAGAAGTTAGATTTGGACAAAAAATTGCGAGATTAAGTGTCACATCACCACATACCACACTCAAGTGACAAGCGTAAGGATAGGTCAAGAAAAAAAGCAATGATGCGAGCACAGTTTGCAAAGACAAAGGGCGACGGCCGCATTACTTCCATGTGGCCAACCAAAATAACGAACGATATGTCGGAGGTCAGAGGGGGCTGAAAGTAACATTTACGAGAAACACTCTTTTACTCTTTCCTAGGTCATATCAGTGCACTTTGTGTGCTCCTTGACCAGCCAAATCGGCTTTAGAAGACGTCGCAACAAAAGAGACTTGCAAAGTGATGCAAAAAATGATGGCGTTCCAAGTGGTCAGAGGACATAGTTATACTCATTTCTGCCATTGGTAAAGAGCATATAAAAAGATGAAATACACAGAGGACTTAACGAAGAACAAATAGATTTTTAAAGTTGTTGCATCAATGTGCTTCTATGCCTCTTTGTGGAGTGAGTTTTTAGCCGGTGGAACACCGGAAGTCATTGCGACAGCAAAATCTGTATGCAGGCAATTATTTCAGTAGTTATTGCTTTAAGTGAAAAATACTCAACAAAAAATTAAGATGCCGTGCCCCAAAGGAAGAAGAAGTAATAGACAGGAAGCACGGAGTCAATTTAGGGCTTCAATCGCGACAATTGACTGGCAAACCGGAAAAAAACAGGAAATTCGACAATACCTTTTGAAATTGTAAATTTTTTCACAAACCATGTAGTAGAGTGGGGACTGGTTTTGGAAGGCAAGTAGCGGATGGGACGTTCTCAAAAGCATAAACATTACAACTGCAGACCTCAAGGTTTTTCATTTTCTAAGGCGTGAAAGAATCGAGTAATCATGTCGCCAAAAAATGAGGATACAGAAACGACATTAACATAAAGTGTGTTGACAGTATCGTAGTTTTAGAGAAGAACATTTTTCTAACTAATAAGGTCATCATTTAAAGCGACCACGCTTCTTGATTTAGACCAAACTTTACAAACATACGTGAACGCATTTTCGTGATGCGATGGAACACCTTTGTATAAATCATACACAGCGCCAGCCCCTCTACGCACGGAATAATTTAGCAAACGCCGATTACCTACCACCCTCGCCAGTGGGAGATTGATAGTAGTAGACAAGACAGTGAACATGTCGTGAATTTTTAAGGTATAGAAACGAGAAATTGCTACAAGAGACAGTAGTTTTCTGAAGTTTCATAGCAAAAACGGTCGAGCATTTATGTCCTCAGAAGCAGATATGTCAAAAATCCCTCCAGAAAAAATAGGTTAAGGCAGGTTTAAGAAAAAGTAAAAGAACTAACTGGATTTTCCTGGTTTCTTTTGGTTGCAGTGCGACTCGTCGGAGTCATTGACATCTGAGGTTGATCCGTTGTCATGACTGTGTTGCTGTTTCGTCTCACTGCTGGCAAGGAAGTCATCTTTCATTCCAATTTTTTCTGCAATTCGGCGCATTGTTATTGCTCCCAAGCGGACGGAATGCTTTCTTATTTCTTCGAGAAAATCCGTCAACTGGGCTAGGCTGGCGGACTAGAAATATGCAGGGAAATTGCCTAAGAACGGGCATTACTTAAATCAGAGAACATGTTATGCCTCAAGATCGAAGGTGCAAACTTCTGGGAAATGGCTACATACAGCAGGCGACGTACCACATGAAATGGTAACCGAAATTCTTAACCCTGCTTTCAAATAGGAGGGATGATTTGGGTGGGGCTGCAATACTGACTGTCGTGTTGTATAATCTCTAGGTATTGCAGTCACTGAAGGATGCCAACTTTAGAATGCGCATCTTTTCGATCGCCTGCAAAAACCGCGCCATTTTTAAGACAAATAATTAAGTAGCACGACTATTTTCCAGTGTTCTAGATGCCCCTACAGGTTTGAACATATTTTAAGGAAGATGCAAAAATATACTATATTGTACTCATAGGCTATGCCTCTTAATGTTATATTCGATGGTTATCTCACGATTTTTTTAAAAAAGCTCTTTGATTCTCGACTAATTTAGACCCAACCTATAGCTGCACTGGTGCTTGGATTTTTAAACCACCAGTTGTATACTTTCCGTGCAAGGAAAACCATACATTATTCGATACAATTAATGAGATACCATATAGTACTCGTAACATTTTGCAATCGATATGGACTATGTCGCACACTTCATAAGGGTCATTAGTAGACGCACGGGTACGATACTATTCACATTTACCTGCAGGAGAAATCTCGTAATTATGAAAATTGCTAAGTCGAAAGATAGCCATTCCTTGAGAATAAAATTTGAAGACGTGATATACTACTAAATGGGTGTGCAAGGGGCATTTTGGTATATGCTTCATTCACAAGAGTATCGATAAGTGATGAGGAAACACACACACTACCTAAGTAGCCTTTTTTTGCTGTGTGGCCTTTGCAGGCGGTCGAAAAGAACCATATTCGGAGGTCCGGCATGATGACGTGCCTGAAACATCTTGCGACTATGTTGCACGATAATCAGTATTGCAGACCCACCTAATTAATTTCTCCTAATCGAAAACACATTCCGGAATTTCGGCTAACAGTTAAGTGAACAGTAGTGAATTGCCGTGTATTCTTGTAAACGGCTTTCTGGCTTGATATGGTACCAGTAGCTGTGTTTTAACGCGACCAAGGCCAACAAAGCTGCAGTTCGCGTGGACGCCAAGGAAATGAATAAGGGAGGAGGAGGAGGAAGGGCAAGACAGAAGATGTGGTAACCCCTCCTACTTATACCAGGTGCTGTTACGTCAATGTCCGGATAGTTCGATTTGGTCAACCAGTTACAGTTCTGACCTGATACAGACATCGGCAGAACTAAAAAATCGCAGGAGTGCGGCAGGACCAATGTCTGGAGGTTGATTCTTTAATTACTGTCTGAGCAGCTATGAGTGCCTGGAAGATGAAATAGAGGCAAACAGGCCTCATGCTGGTGTTAATTGAAGCTGGCGTCAAAAAGAAATATTGCGGTGTTATGAGAGAATTTGCTCAGAGTTACCTTAATCTCCGCTCTCAATTCGGGAATGCGTTTCAGAAGGCACGCGGAGAAGGTATAGGATTGGATTGACTTCAGCTGGTAGTGTTCAAGGTGTTCCAGTGTCTTCAGTGCGTGGTAATAGCGCCCATCTGCAATGCTTTTCTCGATACGTTCGTACTGGTCGAGAACAGGCAGACTATTTTGAAGGGCAGCAATACATTGGTCAATCTGCTCCAAAGTACTTTGGGAGGCAGACAGGGCCGTGAAGGATTCGTTCAACTAAAGATATTATAATCAAGTGTTGGTATGGTCTGACGGCACGGGAAAAACGCAGCACTTACATAAAGAGGTTCATAAAAAGAGCTAAAATAACATTTTCGACGACTGAAACGGGGCACCAAAAACCAGAGCAGACAACCAGGTTTGCAGGTTACTGTTGTGGTAGGCGAAATAAAAAGTGAGAGTGGCAGCACGCGTAGCATTACATACGAAGTTTCAGAAGAGAACAAAGCGAGAGACCTCTAGTGGAACAGTTACCCAAAATTTAAATTATGGAAACATAGAATAAGAGCAAAACGATCTGCTGCGTATCTAAGAAAAGGAGTCGCGATACAGCAGTTGAATGGTGGCTAGGTAGGTTATTTCCGGTTTCTAAAGGATACAAGAAAGGGACAGAAACTTAAAGAGGATAGATGAGGCTTTCTCAGTTAATTATACGTCTACATATGGGGAAATTCGGTTAAGCTAGAAGGAAGGACGACGCCGTCTAAAGATACGTTTAAATGTCCTTATGAAGAACAGTAAAAGAGGTAACCAAGTCGTGTACAATTGTCGCACCTTCTGCACCTCGTCCAAAATACTGGAACGTATTTCACTGAGTGTACTTTGAAGTTTTTCAGCCTCCTCCTGCACACATAACAACTCCTTAACCGAGTCCACGAAACTCTGATAGTTGTGACTACAGGCTTTCTCAATTTCTAGCTCTTTGTCCGCAACTCTTTCATCGAGAAGGGCGATGAAATTAGCAATCAGCCCACCTGTCGGGCCACCCACACCGGCTTGGTACGCAGCGACTTCGTGCTCTCGTAGCTTACGGATGACATTTGCACAGGATCCACTATTGTCAGATTCAAGTTCATCAAGTAAGTGGTAAAAGTCAAGGGGTTCAACGGAAGATTCAGCCATCTCAGTAACGGAATTTCTAAAGATCAATGACCATCCTTTCTAAGGCCTTCCAGCTCCTTTTGAATAGCCTCAAAGGCGGAGGTGAGACGTTCAAGGTCTGCGAGGTCCAAATTCAGCTTAACAGAAGTGGGTTTCTGGAAAAAAAAATTAAAAAATCCAAGCGGCTTACTCCGTTCTTGACAAACTTGAACTCTGATGAAACGAATGCTTTGCGAGATTGTGATTGTTCTACTTTCCAGTTAAACACTTGGCTATTTTCCTTAGAGTCCATAAACCTACGAAGGTTAGTAAAGTCAGCAAAAACAAATAACCAACGTACCGACGCTGTGATGCGGACAACTAAAGACCACAAAACCGTGATGATTTCCGCATTTCAAACATAATTGCCTGCTCAAAGTATTCAGTGATCAATATATTTATCATATTTTTGTGAAAGATTTACAATATGACCACTCAGCACATTTGCAGCGGATCTCTAGATTATTGACCATTGTGACCCTTTGTCACTTAGATATTAATACTAGAACGAAGAGAAATGCGAATTAGGGCGTAGGGGGTATATGTTCACCTCCAGGTGGTCTTATGTTAACATAGGTTTTCCCATCACCAAAGGGCATCGAGATGTTTCTCGCTGGACCCACGTGACAAAGTTAAGGAAACCTCGCCAGATAACCCGCCTTTAACATTAAAACGACCGGAAAAAATGGATTTTCAAACTATACTCGCTACAGGCAAAACCGAATTCCCAGGTATCCTAAAATACTGCGATAACGACTGGGCTAAACAGTTATCGTTCATACCACCGTCCTTTTATTGTCTTTACTGTTTCTGCGGGCCTGCTCCTTGTCGCCTCTGCGACCAGTAGGCAACTGGGACCTACCTATCCTTTCCTGCAGTGTGAGATTAACAAGCTCATATATTGGGTCATCAAGGGCTCTGCCGTCAACCCTTCAAATACGTACATGTATGCATGCAATTGTTGTACCTTTCTTTTCTCGAACCTCCGTATTATTAAGAAGATATGTCGACCACGTCTGTGAACAAGGATTGATGGCTTTCCGAGCACACTTGGCATAAACCATCCAAGCATAATGTTCGATGAGGTGCTTGAATATCATGTTAATGGTAAAAATATCCTTTTAAATCTCTGCAGTAGTCCCTGCGAAGCAAGCTAATTATACTGGAAAGGTTAGTTCAATAGTAACCGATCTTTCACGCGGAAGGAGTTCGACCCCTGACACTAGGTGTCGATGTATTTCTGGATTACACCTTTTTACAAGACAGAGATCAAGATTTACACCAACCTACAGCAAACTTCGACCGTTTACTTCTTGTGGGACGCGCAGATATTTAAATATTTTGTTAAAAGACTTTTTGGAGAGCTAAGGGAACCTTTTCAGCCCCATCTAGAATACGGCATACTAGCGTTACGGTCATGGCTAGCAAACGACCAAACATGCCTCGAAAAAGTTCAAAGCTGTGTAGCAGAGTCGGCAAAAGGTTTAAAAACCAATCGTGTGTAGAGGAACTGAACTCCCTCGACTTATTCTCTCTGTGTTACACACAGCAAAGAGGTGATTACCTCGTGGTTTACAAGATGATACATGGCCTTCAACATGGAACGAGCTTTGAAGACATGTTTTATTGGCACCTTCCGTCCAATCTTCGTGGCCACTAGATGAAGTTACGCTCAAAAAGGTTTAGGCTGAACCTCCGCTCTGAATGTTTTTCACAGAGGGTAGTGAAGAGTTGGAATGATTTCCCCGAATTAGTCGTGGAGGTCTCACCCTGCAGCTTTTCAAGAAATGTTTGGATGATTTCTGTGAAGCCTGTTTTCCCTCGAGAGTCCGAACCTGACCTGAATACTCCGTGAAAGTCACGCAAGTACCATTTTAATAGCGGTGGTTGTCCTTATCTGTGTACAGATGTATTTACCAAACTGGTATGTAATCATCTTCCATCTCCTTTCCGTCGCCCCACTCGTTGTCACCAGACTAGCAGGGTGAGCGCGCTCACTCTGGCAGCCTGGAATGTTCGTTCCCTTTTAGACAATCCGAGGAGCAACCGACCGGAGCGGAGGACGGCGCTAGTGGCACGAGAACTGGCGCGCTACAAGGTGGACATCGCCGCACTCAGCGAGACCCGTTTCTCCGAACAAGGCCAACTGGAGGAGGTAGGTGCCGGCTACACCTTCTTCTGGAGCGGTCGACCCAGGGCAGAGCGACGAGACGCGGGCGTCGCCTTCGCCATTCGGAACGACATCGTGGGACGACTGCCCTGTTCGCCGCAGGGCATCAACGATCGCCTGATGAGCCTTCGCCTGCCTCTCTGGGGAGGCAAATTCGCCACCATCATCAGCGCCTACGCTCCGACGATTACCAACCCCGACGCCGTCAGAGACAAATTCTACGAGGACCTGCACGCCCTCTTGGCGACTGTGCCGAAGGCGGACAAGTTGATTGTCCTTGACGACTTCAACGCCCGCGTCGGCACAGACCATACTGCCTGGAGAGGAGTGCTGGGTCCCCACGGTCTCCGCGGCTCAAACGACAATGGTCTGCTGCTTCTTCGCACCTGCGCAGAACACCGCCTTATCCTGACAAACAAGTTCTTCTGTCTGCCGGAGCGAGAGAAGGCCGCCTGGAGGCATCCTCGGTCGAGCCAGTGGCACCTGCTGGACTATGTCCTAGTCCGGAGGCGAGATCAGCGGGACGTGCTGGTGACGAACGCGATCGCGGGTGCTGACGGGTGGACCGACCATCGCCTCGTCATCTCGAAGATGCGTATTCGCCTAGAGCCTCGCAGGAGACCACAAGGTAAGCGACCCACAGGTAAGCTGAATGTTGCCTTGTTGTCTTTGCCCGCTCACCATCTCCATTTCAGCAATGAGCTAGCTCAACGGCTAGGCAACCTTCCTATCGCCAATAGAAGCGAAAAGACGAGTCCCAGGAAGCAGTCTTGAAGAAGACACGATCGCCGGGACAAGAGCTTTATTAGCCTGACGTTTCGGATTCCTGCTCGAATCCATCATCAGAGACATAAGCAGATAAGGGTGGTTCATGCACATGTGGCTGCAGTATTTATAGGATGCCATAGCCATGCCACTGCATACCTATGAATGTTCACGGCTCCCTCCCCTTCATCAGGGATCGTTGCACGTGGCGTGATGGTCGATATTCGCGTCGTCAATTGCTGCAATTTCATCACGTGCGTTGGATGTTGGTGTGATGATTGCTCGACCATCTGACGCGCTGACCCGGGTGTTGGGAAGAACTCAGGTGCAATAACACCGACCGACAGACGCATGGCGAGACCCCAAGATACGGCTTTGGCCCGATTCTATGGCCTCCCTAAGGTGCACAAAGACGGCGCTCCTCTCCGACCCATCGTGTCGCTCAAAGGTACTCCAACGTACGGACTGGCTAAGTGGCTGTTCCGGCGTCTCAAGTTCCTGACCGCTGAGTCAGACACCACGGTCTCTTCGTCAGCAGAATTCCTGGAGAAACTCAAAGGGGTAAGCCTCCATCCAAATGAGGTCATGGTATCTTTTGATGTTACATCCCTTTGTACTTCTATTCCCCAGGACCTGGCGATCGAGACAATCAAGCTGCTTCCGCAAAGCAAATACGATGAAACGGAGAATCGTCTTGGACGCGCCCAAGTCCTTCAGCTGCTGAAGTTCTGTCTCAGGACGTACTTCACGTTCGACGGGACAATCTACGAACAGGTGAAAGGCACACCAATGGGTTCGCCGATTTCGGGATTCATCGCCGAGGCGGTCCTGCAACGGTTGGAGTCGCTGGTCTTCCAACACCACAAACCGACGTTCTGGGCCCGGTATGTGGATGATACCTTCGTCGTTATCGATCGGGATCAACTGCTGACATTCAAGGAACGTCTGAATGCGGTCTTCCCGGACATACAATTTACGATGGAGGAGGAAGAGAACAACCAGCTGGCCTTCCTGGATGTCCTCGTATGCCGCAAGGATTGTGGTGGACTAAAGACCAAAGTGTTCAGGAAAGCGACAAATACGATGCAAGTACTGAACTTCAACAGTAACCACCCAATCAGCCACAAACGCAGTTGTGTAAGGACGCTCTATCGGCATGTCGAAACGCACCGCAGTGAGCCGGAAGACAAAATTGCTGAACTACAATACCTCCGACGGGTATTCAAAGCCAATGGCTACCCGAGCAACTTTGTCAACCGGTGCATACGCAAAATGGACGAAAGGCCTAACCGCAGGGACACCAAAGTTTGGCGAGCACTTCCATATGTCAAGAACGTGTCGGAAGCTGTTGGCCGCCTTCTCGCACCGCTGGGGGTTGGAGTTGCACACAGGCCAGAGGCAACCATCAGGCGTCAACTGATGAAACCAAAAGACCCACTGCCACGGCAAGAAACGTCTGGAGTTGTTTATCGGATCTGGTGCAGTTGCGGACAAAGCAACTACGTCGGAGAAACCGGAAGACAGCTCCGAACGCGAATGGCCGAACACGCTGCAGCAGTGCGGAGAAATGACGCCAGCTCTCAAGTTGCGGCTCATTCGACGGGTGTCGGCCACACATTCAAATTTGACGAGGCCGAAATTCTCGCAAAAGGTGACAACCGCGTTAGCCGGGAGCTGCTTGAGTCATGGTTCACTGGCCCCCAGTCTATTAACAAGTGCAATGATATTCCCATTCAATACAGCGTGCTGAGTCTTCGTCTAGGCGGAGAAATTGGCCACGCGGGGAGCGCCCTGATAAACACTCTTCCCAACACCCGGGTCAGCGCGTCAGATGGTCGAGCAATCATCACACCAACATCCAACGCACGTGATGAAATTGCAACAATTGACGACGCGAATATCGACCATCACGCCACGTGCAACGATCCCTGATGAAGGGGAGGGAGCCGTGAACATTCATAGGTATGCAGTGGCATGGCTATGGCATCCTATAAATACTGCAGCCACATGTGCATGAACCACCCTTATCTGCTTATGTCTCTGATGATGGATTCGAGCAGGAATCCGAAACGTCAGGCTAATAAAGCTCTTGTCCCGGCGATCGTGTGTTCTTCTTCAAAACCTTCCTATCGCTGCCGCCGACGACGCCACCGCTGCCGAGAACGCCTCCGTGGAGAACCGCTGGTGTCAACTGCGAGACACGGTCCAGTCGACGGCGCTCGCCGTCCTCGGTCGCGCTCCCCGCCAACACCAGGACTGGTTCGACGACAACGACGCCGCCATCAGAAATCTGCTAGCTGAGAAGAACCGCCTACACAAAGCCTACACATACCACCCCACTGATGCCACCAAAGCTGCCTTCTACCGCAGTCGCCGCCAGCTTCAGCAACGACTGCGCGAGATGCAGGACGCTGGACTGCTCGCAAAGCTGAGGAGATCCAAGGGTACGTGGACCGCAACGAATGGAAGAACTTCTTCTTTGCGATCAAAGCTGTCTACGGTCCGCCGACGAAGGGCACTGCTCCTCTCCTCAGCGCCGACGGCAACACTCTCCTGACTGAGAAAACGCAAATCCTGCAGCGATGGGCCGAGCACTTCCGAGGCGTCCTCAACCGCCCCTCCGTCATCTCCGACGCCGCCATCGAGCGCTTGCCGCATGTGGAGACCAACGTGGACCTCGACCTCCCGCCATCTCTCCAGGAGACCATCAGGGCCGTGCAGCAGCTCTCCAGCGGGAAAGCACCCGGATCGGACGCGATCCCTGCTGAGGTCTACAAGCACGGAGGTCCCCAACTAATGGATCACCTGACTGCGCTCTTCCAAGAGATGTGGCGTCAAGGTGAAGTCCCGCAAGATTTCAAAGACGCAACCATCGTGCATCTCTACAAGCGCAAAGTGAATCGCCAAGTCTGCGACAATCACCGTGGCATCTCCCTGCTGAACATCGCCGGGAAGATCTTCGCACGAATCCTCCTCAACCGCTTCAATAACGATCTGGAACAGGGCCTTCAGCCGGAAAGCCAGTGCGGCTTCCGTTGTCATCGTGGTACCACGGATATGATCTTCGCCGCCCGTCAAGTTCAGGAGAAGTGTCAGGAGATGCGGACCCACCTGTACTCTACCTTCGTGGACCTGACGAAAGCCTTCGACACGGTGAATCGTGAAGGACTGTGGAAGATCATGCAGAAATTCGGCTGTCCGGAGCGATTCACTCAGATGGTGCGTCAGCTGCACGACGGTATGATGGCGCGAGTCACGGACAACGGAGCTGTCTCAGAGGCATTCGCAGTGACCAATGGAGTGAAGCAGGGCTGCGTACTGGCGCCTACCCTCTTCAGTCTTATGTTCTCTGCCATGCTGATGGACGCCTACCGCGACGAACGCCCCGGGATCCGCATCGCCTACAGGACGGACGGTCACCTCCTGAATCAACGGCGGATGCACTTCAAATCGCGCGTATCCACAACCACCGTGCACGAACTCCTCTTCGCCCACGACTGCGCCCTGAACACCACCTCGGAAGAGGAGATGCAACGGAGCATGGGCCTGTTCTCCGCCGCCTGCGAGAACTTCGGTCTGGTCATCAACACACAGAAGACGGTGGTGATGCACCAACCGCCACCCACCTCGGCCACAGCCCCCAACGCGCCGCCGCAAATCAGCGTGAATGGGACCCACCTGCAAGTGGTGGAGAACTTCCCGTACCTGGGCAGTACTCTCTCCCGCAACACCAAGATCGACGACGAAGTCGCCAACAGGATCTCGAAAGCCAGTCAAGCCTTCGGTCGCCTCCAAAGCACAGTTTGGAATCGTCATGGTCTCCAACTGAGCACGAAGGTGAAGATGTACAAGGCCGTCATCCTGCCGACGCTACTGTATGGAGCGGAGACTTGGACGGTGTACGCAATGCAGGCACGTCGTCTGAACCACTTCCACCTCAGTTGTCTTCGTCGCATCCTGAGGCTGAAGTGGCAGGATCGAATCCCCGACACTGATGTGCTGGAACGGACGGGAATCCTCAGCATCAAAGCCATACTGAGGCAAATTCAGCTGCGCTGGAGCGGCCACCTGGTGCGCATGGACGACGAGCGACTACCCAAACGACTCTTCTACGGAGACGTCGCGACGGGTTCTCGCCGTCAAGGAGGCCCAATTCGTCGATACAAGGATACCCTGAAGTCCTCCCTGAAATGCCTGCAAATCAACCCCACCAACTGGGAGGAGCTCGCACTCGATCGACCGACCTGGAGGAGGACAGTGAAGACAGGCGCTGCGATCTACGAAGCCAACCGCATCGCTGCCGCCAAAGCGAAACGTGAAGCCCGCAAATCACAACTTCGCCCAGTAAGCAACGCCGCCGCACAACCGCTTCCAACGTGTCCTCGATGTCAACGGACATTCCGGGCTCGAATCGGACTTGTTGGACATCTTCGGATTAACTGCGCCTCTCGAACGGCACCAACCATCGTCCCCCCGCCTGCCTCTCCCTCCTCCTCTCCGCCGCCAACTAACCCACCACTTCCATCATCATCCTCCTCCTCCTCCTCCTCCTCCTCCTCCTCCTCCTCCTCGCCCACTGCTCCAACGGCGGCCGCTCAGGCGACTGTCCCACGCACAGCAACCGACACTACCACCACCTTCCCCGACTCCAGGGATGAGGATCAGGACTACACCTGCCCTCACTGCGACCGTACTTTCACCTCACACATCGGCCTGGTCGGTCACGTGCGAATCCATCGCACAGAGACTGGCGAACCAGTGCATGGAGCACTAACCTACACCCACCGCACTCGCCTCCACTGCCCACACTGCCCTCGCACCTTCACGCATCGCATGGGCCTTTTCGGCCACATGCGCATCCACGAGAGCGGCCTTGACCGCATTCCCGACACACCCACTACATCCAAAACATCCACCGTGCACACCCCCACTCTCGTTCCATCCGTCCGCGACACCACCACCACCACCACCACCGCCTCCTCTGTAGCTGACACTGACACCGCCGACTTCTCATGCCCACACTGTCCACGCACATTCACCTCACGCATCGGCCTGGTCGGTCACTTGCGAATCCATCGCACAGAGACTGGCGAACCAGTGCCTGGAGCACCCACCTATACCCATCAAGCTCGTCTCAACTGCCCACACTGTCCTCGCACTTTCAGGCATCGCATGAGCCTATTCGGCCACATGCGCATCCACGACGACCTGCGGTAGACAACCGCCGGCCACACCACGCATTTACTCACTCCCTACCTCCTCCACCACCACCATCACCCCACCAAAAAACAACACTCACACACCTCATGCACCCAACTGCCACCTCCCACGCAAGTGGGAAGTGTGCATCTCGACTCGGTCCCCATGCGGCTTCGGCTGCACGGGTGACTTGAGTCCCAGGCTATTCCGACACGTCAAGCGTCATGGATAGGAAGGTTGCTGATTGACGCCCGCTCTCGGTTCACGCAGTTCGTCGCGTTGTGTGTGTGTGTGTGTTGTGTGTAGTGGCGGACTGGTGGGCTGGGGACGAACTGAAACAGCACCTTTCACGGCCCTCTCACGCAAGTGAGAGACACGCCGTTCAACCCCCGTTGTGTGAAATCCTGATGTTTGTGTGTGTATGGGGGGCCAGGTCGTGCTGTGGCGCGCGCAGACATGGTCAGTCGACCATGTCAGCCACCGCGCCCATTCCCCACTCCAGTCTTCTGACCGGCTCGGACAGCGGCTGGGGTGTGGGGATGGGAAGGGAGAGTGAGGTCGACGACTCAGCGCACTTTCTCCTCACTATAAACAATCTGACGCGCTTGAAGCTATCGCGGTGCGCTAAAAGCCGTGGATTGGAAGGTTGCCAACTGACGGGGTACCTTGGACCTCCTCCTTCATTGGAGGCGGTCTGAGAGTCAGGCTGCAATGGCTCCTTTTTAATGTGGCCTTTATGGCATTCCCACCACAGTGTGGGGTCCGAGCCAGGCGTTGGCGGCACGCCCAGGTGCGGCTTCGGCCGTGCCAGCCTCCAAATCTCTGTTGTGTTGGTTGAAATCCTGGTTATTTGTTGTGTGGACCAGGGGGTGTGGTGGAACGCCAAGGTGAGGATCCGTCCGAGCCATCCACCTGCGGCCTCCCTCGTCTCCGGTCTTCTTGACTCTGTCTTGACACCGGGTCCAGGCGGGGGAGGAGGAGAGAGTGTAGGTAGATGCTACGCAAGTCTACCGGCACTATAAACCCCTGCGTAAGTCACCGTCCCTGCTCCCATTGCTGCTGCCACTGTGGGGCACACGGTGGACATCATCGAAACCGATGGTCGAACTGTCATGTAATCACGATTGGAAGCGAATATGCGCATCCCAGGTTCTTGTTTTCCTTCACTGCTAGTCGGATTTGTGTTTAATCGCTTCCCTTGACAATGCCTGTAAACTAGCATTAAATAAATAATTATGATTATTAAAAGAAGACGAAGGCACGATCACTTGGACGGTAGATTTATTGACCTGAGCTTTCGAACTCGAACTGGAGTTCATCACCAGAGACCGCTAGAATGTAGCAACGCGTGAACACTTATATCGTTGTTCCGTGCGCGGAGGGGAATACGTCAATGACTAGGTCTGGTTGGTGCTGCCTGTCCCACAATGGTCCCCCAGCGGGGTGACGCCGTTTGTACTTCGCGGCGATGTGAGCCAAGCCACCTGCCTCTGTGGACGGAGTGAGTGATAACACGCAGGTAAATCAATGTGTCTATTGATAGAGTTGGTGTCCAACACCCACGCCTCTAAGAGTTTTCGCCCCTCGTGTTGCCGGCTCGCGCCAATATCCGCCTGTTGGCGAAGTCTAACTAGTGGCTCTCCTCCAGTGTTTGAATGGCAACTTGAGATAGTGGGTCGCCTCTTCGAACGGTCCGTTTGTGCTCAAGTATTCGTGAGCTGAGACGTCGTCCTGTCTGGCCTGTGTAGTAGCAAGGACAGTTTTGGTACGGGATTTGATAGACTACGCCCTACTGTTCACCTGCGTCCAGCCGATCCTTCATTTTCATGATCCTGCTACGAATGGTAGCCGTCGGATAATGGGGGATGCCCACGCCTAGCTCTGACGCAAGGCGTTCTGGTGCCTCGGACACATTCTTTATGTACGGTAGGGAGTGCCAAATTGTTGGTGTCGCTCTTTCGTTTGTCCGTCGTGGGTGCATGCGTATGCAGCGGCTGATGAAACTATTTGGGTAGCCGTTCTTTGTTAAATGGTCCCCTAGATTAGAAAAATTGTTATTATCATCTCACCGTTTAAATCTGGTTCTCACCCTGGCGTTCAAAATTATCGGGAGATTCACAAAACGTCCACTATGGATAGACGGTTTAAAAGAGGGTGCGATCTAAATTACTGATTTTTGTATAACCAACCAATTTCCTAACTCAGCTCTATATACGTTTTGCATGGTAGCCCGCGTGGAGCGTGTCATATGCCTTTCCTGAGTCTGAGTGATTCTCATCATAGTATCACCCCTATGTGATCGTTACTTATTTCCCCTTAATAAAGCTTTCAATAAAGTGTCACATAGGTAAATTGGGGGCTCTAGTATTTCAAAGTCTCATATAATCACTTCAAGAGAACGTACTTATCAAATCAATAGCAAAGTATCTTTGTGGGGTCCTCAGTTCCCGATGGCAGTGGTGTCTTCCAAGGCGCTATATTAAGTCACTTTTTTCTCGTCTTACATCAATGATATTTTATTGGCAGTTGAACACGTCCAGCCTTTTGCTTATGCTGATGATCTCAAACGTTGATATTCTCTCTTTAAATCTACAGTCCAATACTGCTTGGAACAAATCCATTTTGGCCTTCTTGCTCTTTCTGCGTGGGGCTCAATATGGCTAATGAAAAGCTTCCTTTCTAGATGTCACTACATATGTTTTGGACGTAAAACCCCCTTCCGACCAGTGATTTTCCAGGGCACACCTATGACTGAATGTTAGACCACCAAAGAATAAGGTTTATTCTACACCAATAATCTAGATCACTTGACAAATGCCTACAAAAGTATGACTAGAGCTGCCCGGATTTGTGGGTATAGTTATTGAAATTTCAACCTGCATGAAGTTAACGTAAGACACTATGGAATGTTTGCCCTCCCCGGTCTTGAATATTGCAGTCCATTCTTTAGTTTAATGAACAAGTCTGGCTGTCCTTTAACAAAACATGTCCAAAGGCATTTTACTAGAAAACGCATAGGCACGACACATTAAATACGTCCTACTCGAACATATTCAGTTAGGCAACCCAAAATTTCTATGGATTCGGTGACTGAAAGCTGACCTCTGCCTCCTTTCCCGTATCAGCAATAGTCCCAGTTTTCCTCGAAAAACACCCGTTACTCCTGTTAGTCGCTTTTACAGCATTCGCATTTTTTCCTTGATCATTCCCCCGCCAGCTTCCCACCTTTAAGCGCTCTGTCCTTTTTCCCTTCAGGAACACTCTATTAAGGATAATTTGTCAGTCAGAATTGTTACGTCGAATAGTTCATCTCTTTTTAAGAGAGGTCTATGCCCTTATTTCAACTCAGACTGGGTCAACCTCGAAAACAGCCCGTCGAGGATTTAGGAGACTGTCTCAAAATTGCCTTGTCCACTCGCAAATTCTTTTTTGTGTATGGTTCCATCCGTCACAATCTCACATTAGAATTGGCCACCTCTTCACGGTGTGCATCGTGGGCTTCGGGGAACACTTTGTCCCTCGACCCGCCTCTCAGTCAAAGAGCCGTGGTCATCGTGATGCGCACGTAATAGACCTCTCCTTTTAGCTGGGTGTCCATCCTCACCAGGATTCCGTTCTGGCTGCTGGAACGTCGTGACTTCACTCTCACCGTTGGTCTTACCCTAGGTCTGCAGGTAACTATCATTTCCACACGCACCATAGTGACGATTCGTTCTTACCTGCCGATCAGTCCTTATAGTCGCCGACTACCGTCAGGATATGTCCAGTTCCTCCATACCCCTTCCTGACGCAGATTTATTCTCGTGAATATTTTATTGAGAGTGCGGATTCCCTGAGCTCTCTCCCTTGCCATTAAAATTATTATTATTATTATTATTATTCTTACTAGGTTCTTTCACTGTCTCTCCCAGGTCTCATTCTTGTGCCTAATAGCCTCTTAGTGGTAATTTGTGGGTATTATTTTCATAACTCCTCTTCGCTAAAGGACAAATCACCGGGAGCTACCATCACATTTTCCTTTTTCGCGAAACACAATTTACAGATTCTAGAATTAAAAGGTGCCTTGGAGGATTTTGAATACTTCTTTTCGACCCGAGGCTGAAAAACTCGGCGGCCTCTGTGGCACTCGAACTCACGACGGCAAGGAGTAGGCTGTAGTACAACCAACGCTCACTTGTGACATTTCGGCCGTTGCGAACGATGTTGTCCACCGTGTGCCCCACAGCATGGTGGGCTCAGTGACCTGAGGCCACATTAAGAAAAAAACGTCGCAGTCTGGCTCTTCAATTTGAGAGGAAAAACAAATTATCCCGCCGGTTGACAGCTTTACGCATGTATGCCTCGATTATTCTGCACGTTGACGGCCATTATTGATGATTGGCGGATGATCCTTCCGTAATTTTACTTATTGACACTGATTACGATGTTTGTCTACGATCTCCACTTTGGTTAATTACTCCGTCCAAGAACATTCTCAATAGGAAAAATGGAGGGGGATAGCATCGCACTTATTTATAGACAGTTTATTAACGAACGGTCAGGTTTGGTCCTGCAGTTACGCTGGCTGTAAGGAAACCCTAAGCGCCTGTGATGCGGGAATGGTAGCAATCGGAGTTTTATGGGAGGGGCCTTAGTGCAGACCAATGGAAAGGTGGGAAGGCTAAGAAAGCCATATTCGAACTAGCGAAGGTTGTTAAAAAAAATTTGAATTCGAATGCCTGATACAAAAATTAAAGTGTACACGTAGAACAGTGGGCGGAAACCGCCGGGGTTTACGATAAAGAGAAAATCTCAAGGGAAAGCTGCCGACCGATAAAATGTGGGAACTCACTGCCAAGGTAGCTCCGCAAAATTTTCAAAGAAAATTATGGGTGATCGCGACAAGGACGAAGAACAAACTGATAAATAGTCACGAAGACAGTAACGAAAGTGAATAAGTAGCTCATGAAACTGTGAGTCATTTGGTGAACGAGACGGAGAGTGCTGTTGATTGTGCGATCCGAAGGGTTTCACACCCC